GAATGACATGAGGTAGTACCAGGAGTGCCCAGGCTTCCTGGGCCATCTGTTTTGAGTTTCTTTTGGACGGATTCCAAGATGAGAATTCCAATCGGACTGTCCCATTCTGCTGTTTGAAGCTGCTTTTGTGTATGTTTGTTTTGTTTTATTTAGCTTTGGGGTCGACCCAGTGGTGCATGAGGAGTACTCAAAGCTCAGTGCTCAATGCTCATTCCTGACAGGTCTAGGTCACCAAAGGGATGCTGGAGGTCCAAAGGTTTCATCTTGGGTTTTCTGTTTTATTAGGGGTGGCAGAGCAAGGATTCTCTCAATCATTCCTTGTGCTGCACTCTGGCATTGCCTCTGGCAGTGCTTGTGGGACCAGATGGGATGTTGGGGATCGCCAGTCCTATATGCTGTCCCCGGAACAGCTGTTCTGTTACGCCAACCTGCTGCTTTGGTTTCTTTTGCATTGTTTTTGTCATCAGCTGTCCTCTTGACTCTGTGCTCTGGATTCACAACTGACTGGCCTCAGAGCACCCTGGGGTGTGCTGGCCCCGTTTGCGCCCTGGCAACTACAGTGACTTGGGCCCCCAGACTTGCTTTTCTCCTGTTTTGTCCTTCCTACTTTAGAGAGATTACCTGCTCGATCATACAGTCTTACGTTCACATAATCTTGTGTGTGGATTTCTGGGCATGCACCGATCCCAAGGAGAAAGAGCCAAGGATCTCTGAGGCCAGTAGAGATGTTGGGGTCACGAAACTTCTACCTTCTTTGAGCGGGATTTGGGGCGGTCCTGTGCAGTTAGTTCCTACAGGCACACATGCCATGCACTGCTCTGAGAAGTTGTCTATATGTCGAGCTCTCAATCCTAGTGGCCATGTGCTGTGGGGTTGCAGTGGTGAGCGTGCAGTGGTTTTTGCTACACCCAGGGATAGTCTTTTGGATCGTACAAGTCTGTGTTCAGGTGATCCTCTCTACAGTGCTCACTGGACCAGTGGTGCTCGAATTGGCCCTGGGGTTACCAGGAAAGGCAGATACATCCAAGAACCTTCTGTATAACGTCCTCCCACTTTAGCAGATCCAGCTGCCTTATGTGATTTCTGGGAACCGTCAACAATGCGTGTGCATGGAGGCTAGTTCATTCGGAGGAGAGAGGCCCAACGACAATATAGCACCCTGGGTCCTGGCCTCACAGTAGTGGTAATGAGGCTAAGATAGACTCTGACTCCCACACTCTCCGTGTGCTGACTCAGGACGCAGTGACCTTCCATGACGTGGCTGTGAACTTCACCCAGGAGGAATGGTCATGCCTGGAGGCCTCTCAGCGGAAGCTCTACAGGGACGTAATGCTGGAGACATACCAACATCTGCAGGCTGTCGGTGAGAGCAGTGTGGAGCCACCGTGTCTGAACAGACCCGCGTGGGCTCCCTGGGGTTGGGCGGCAGCCGTGTGTCCAACAGTAACTCTGTGACGGGCTGGGATGTTGGACAGCCATGCAGTAGCTCTTCCCTCCCTCTTTTTTTAGGGTTAACCTGTGGATACTCAGGGCTTACTCTCAGCTTTGTCTTCAGGAATTACTCTTGTGGGGTAGCCGGACCCTATGGGGTGATTCATATCAACCCGTTTCGACTGTGTCCATGGGAAGATCCCTCTCTGCCCAGTTATCGCTCAGGTCCTTTTAAATAGTTCTATCCATTGGTGCATCAATTTACTTTGTGTACTACACGAAATTTTGTGTGTTTAATTGGTTTTGCTGTTGCCTTTGTTTGGGGGGCACAGTCCACAGTTCTCTTGGCTCTGTGCTAAAGGATGACTCCTAAGAGTGTTCAGGGGCCATGGGGAACCGTATATTGAAACTTCTTGGCAAGTTAAACTGTTGGTGCCTCACCCCCAGTACTTTTGCACCAGTCACTCAAGTCAGACGGTTTTTGCATTTTCTTTTTTCCTCAGGAATTAGGGATTATTCCTGCCTGTGTATTCAAGATCCACACCTGGCCTTGCTCCAAGACCATATGGGCTAGCTGGGATCAAATGCACATGTGTGTGCAGCGCTTCTGTCCTATGTGCTGTACTATCTCTCTTCCACCACAGGGGATTTGATATCTCGTCTCTCAACTCATTAGATGCTGCCCTATTTCAGTGCTTAGATTTCCTTCTAATGGTTCTTGTGAGACTTCAGCAGGACTTAGGGTTTGCTCCTGGACTCTGCACTCAGGGATCACTCCTTGCTGTAATGTGGGACCCTCGGTGATATCAGGTATCGCAACGGGATTAGCCGTGAGAAACACCTGCTGTGCTCTCTTTCTGGATACATTTTTCAGCTTAAAAAATAAGCGTGCCTTGCCACCCTTGGCCATTTCCAGATTTATTATGCACTTAGTTTTACTGAAATCTGCGATGAGTTCATGAGGGGCTCAGGAAACTCCATGTGCTGCTGGGCCTAGAAAGACAGTACAGAGAGGAAAGTGATTTTCTTGCAAGCGGCGCACGTGGGTTAAATCCCCGGCATCACATGTCATCCCCGAGCACCAGCAGCAGTGATTTCTGAATACAGAGTCAGGAGTCACTCCTGATCATTGCCAGGTGAGACCCCAAACAAGACAAAAACCAACAACATACTGTGCTGATCAACCCCCTGTCGGCCATATACATGGCCAGGTCTAGAGTATTTGTGATATTTTCTTGGGTCTTACCTCTCGAATAACTAGAAATATATGGAATTTTGGAAATGGACATTCTGTTCATGCTTTTCAGATATTTGCCCAGTTATATCAGGAAAACATGGGCATTTAACTGTCACCTTTTCCCTGTGACTTATCCATGCCTCTGTCTCTGTTGGAGCAGGGCACTCTGGGATGAAGCCTGCGGTGATCTCCTGGCTGGAAGAAGGAGCTCTGAGGTCGGGTAGGAGAGGCGTGTGTGCGGGTGAGTGTCTGAGGACCCTTCCCGGCTCAGGCCCTATGCAGTGTATGGGTGCCCTAAGCATGTAGGAAACACGCTGCTGAGACCAGGGACTTTGTCTCCTGGATCCTTGGGTCTGTGCCGCACTCAAGCTGCTCTTCATTTCCCTGGACTGGCAATCACAGAATGATCCTGTAATTTGCTTCCATGGCTTTCGAATAAATAAGATCATAACAGAGCTAGTTTGGATCTGACCCATAGTACATCAGGGAGCACCTTTCAGTGCCTGAATGTGACCTGTTAAATAATCTGTTCAATAACCTGGTTCCCCGAACATCACCAGGTCTGCTCAAAAACAAAAACATAACCTAGTGTAGAATTGCCAAGATCCTCACAGTTTTCCACTATCCGAATCTTTTGTTTAGTGTGGGACTCTTTGAACTTTGAGAACCACAGAGATGTACTCTTAACTACATGGCATCATTTTGCTACATTTTGTGACATGTGTGACATGTGAATTGTATGATCTCTTCAGTTTCAGAACTGAAACCGCGACTTCAGGATTTGGCAGTACAGCACTTTGATTTGGGAATGGGGTCAGCAAGTACGAGTGAGTTGGTAAGATTCAGGAATACAGAATAAATATTATGCCAGCAGGAGTGGACGAAGTATGTGATTGTAAAGGTGGAAGGCTGGGATTCACAGGGAGGAATTCCAAAGCCTGATGCTTGGAGTAGAGGACCCTTAGCTTCACTAGGTGCTGAAATCAACCATGTATAAAAAATACTGTGAGTTTTGATTGATTTGACTGTGGTAGTTGTTTAGGAAGCTAATTTGTGCGCCATACAGATGGTGCAGTGAGAAATATACTTTCTTTGCACAGAGATGGATGGTCTTTACCCAGCACGACTTATAGACACCATAGACCCACAGAGCTGATCCTAGATACTGCATGGTGTGCCCCTCCACCCACCCAACCCCCAATAAATAGAAACTACAAAACAGAAAGAACAAAAAACTTCATTGATCCTGAAAGCCAAAACTTGTGGTGAGAGCTTTGCAATGGCCACATGGTCTGTCTCAACTGTGTGACGATGCAGCGTTGTCTTCACCCCTGCATCACAGGTTCCACACTGAACTTTAACCAAACCCACATGTGGATCTATTTCATTTTCTCCTGAAATGGATGCATCCATTTTCTATAGAAGGAATTATATCTAGTTGTATTCCTTCATTAATTTAAAGGGGGGAAATTCACAGAATTTACTGACTCTGCATCCATCAATTTTGTGTGTCCAACTTACAGTAACATGAAATTGTTCTATAGTAAGACAATTCATATGTCGGTAATTCCATTTGTGTGGTGCATATGTGTGAAACCACATCTGAAGGGTTCAGTTTTGTGACAGGAAGACTCAGTGAATAAGTGAATAATTCGAAACCTCTGTTGTTCCACAGGAAAGCTGCCACCCCGAGTGGAATGTCTCTGATCCTGCACTGTGTGATAATGTCTCGAGTGAGCAATCCTGCCCTCAACCCCATGAGGACGCCGAGACAGGCGGGATGTCTTCTGAGGGTGATAAGAATGGCGAGAGCTACGTCACTCTGAAGAAGCCCTCTCCTGGAAAAAGTTCCTTGAAGTGTGTTATTCTCAGATCACAGGCACAAAGTTCCCCAGTGGGGCACCTGCTAGTGAGAGGAGCACAGTTTATAGTGAGTCCATCACAGCAACATACCCTCAACCACAATCACCGTGAGCAGAACCCATCTACATGTAAGGAATGTGGGGGAGCCTCCCCATGTTCTCAGCACTGTGGTGTTCCCTTAGAAAACCACAGTGGACAGAATCCCCAGAAAAGTCAGCCTCGAGAACAAAATTTGAGTCAAGGGTTACTCCATCATGACCATATGAATATAAATTCAGGAGCAAAACCTTTTGCATGTGAAGCATGTGGGAAGGCCTTCGATCAATCATCACATCTTATTATGCATAGGATAATTCATACAGGAGAGAAACCTCGTGAATGTCAGACATGTGGGAAGGCCTTTATTCAGACCTCTAATCTTAATAGACCTATGAAAACTCATAGTGGAGAGAAGCCATATATATGTCAGGAGTGTGATAATGCCTTTACTCGATCCTCAGGCCTCATTATACATAGTAGTATTCACACTGGAGAGAAACCGTATATATGTAAGGAATGTGGAAAGGCCTTTACTCAATCCTCAGGCCTCAGTATACATAGGAGAATTCACACTGGAGAGAAACCATATATATGTAAGGAATGTGGAAAGGCCTTTACTCAATCCTCAGGCCTCAGTATACATAGGAGAATTCACACTGGAGAGAAACCATATATATGTAAAGAATGTGGGAAGGCCTTTGCTGAAGCCTCAACACTTCGTGTACATAGGAGAATTCACACTGGAGAGAAACCATATATATGTAAGGAATGTGGAAAGGCCTTTACTCAATCCTCAACACTTCGTGGACATAGGAGAATTCACACTGGAGTGAAACCATGTATATGTAAGGAATGTGGGAAGGCCTTTGCGAAAGCCTCAACTCTTAGTGAACATAGGAGAATTCACACTGGAGAGAAACCGTATATATGTAAGGAATGTGGAAAGGCCTTTGTTAGACCCTCAAAACTTATTGTACATAGGAGAATTCATACTGGAGAGAAACCGCATATATGTAAGGAATGTGGAAAGGCCTTTACTCAATCCTCAGGCCTCAGTATACATAGGAGAATTCACACTGGAGAGAAACCGTATATATGTAAGGAATGTGGGAAGACCTTTGCTGCAGCCTCAACACTTCATCAACATAGGAAAATTCACACTGGAGAGAAACCATATATATGTAAGGAATGTGGAAAGGCCTTTGTTAGACCCTCAAAACTTATTGTACATAGGAGAATTCACACTGGAGAGAAACCGTATACATGTAAGGAATGTGGAAAGGCCTTTACTCAATCCTCAAGCCTCAGTATACATAGGAGAATTCACACTGGAGAGAAACCGTATATATGTAAGGAATGTGGGAAGGCCTTTGCTGCAGCCTCAAAACTTCATCAACATAGGAAAATTCACATTGGAGAGAAACCATATATTTGTAAGGAATGTGGAAAGACCTTTCCTGGATACTCAAGACTTACTGCACATATGAAAATTCATCTCAGAGAGAAACCTCATTAGTGTCAGACATGCGCGAAGGCATTCACACGGTTCTCTTCCCTTACTCGACACTTGAGAATTACAAACACCTTACACGCGGCCAACATGGCCGACCCGAGTTCGATTCCTCCACCCCTCTCGGAGACCCCGGCAAGCTACCGAGAGTATTTGATATGCCAGACACAGTAACAACGAAAGTCTCCAATGGAGACGTTACTGGGCCCGCTCGAGCAAATCGACGATCAACGGGAGGGCCTTTACCTTTACCAAGCCTTAGTGTACATAGGAGAATTCACTGGAGAGAAACTGTATATGTAAGGAATGTGGGAAGGCCTTTGCTGTGACCTCAATACTTAATGCACATAGGAGAATACACACTGGAGAGAAATCCTATACATATAAGAAGTCTGGAAAGGCCTTTTGACAAGCCTCAGATTTAGTGTACATAGGAGCATTCATGCCAGAGGAAAACCTTTTATATGCGAGGAATGTGGGAAGGCCTTCTGCCATTCTGAATCCTTGCTAAGTACAGGAATATTCACAGTGGAGGGAAACCTTATCAGTGTCAGTCTTTTGGGAAGTCCTTCATTTGGTGCTGTTCTCTTACTCAGTATGTGAGAGTTCATACCGGAGACAAACTGCATATATCTCAGGAATGTGGGAAGGGCTTCATGTACCCCTCACACCTTAATAAACATATAAAAGTTCAAACTGAATGACTTGATCCCTTAATAACAGTCTCTAAGGACAGAGCAGGACAAGTCAGTCAAGCAAGTTTCCTTTGGACACGATGGTCAAGGGTGTTAAAATAGTGCAGTTAAGAGGGAAGTAAGCCTGCCTGCTTGGGACAGGCTTCTCATGTCCTTGAAAGTTACCTGCTGATTTTCACCCTGGCTGCACCTATGGTAGCATTCTAGTGCTTGGAATTGCTTGTGTGTTAACTTGTAAATAATGGGTCCTGGTGATGAAAATAAGGAGGAAGGTGACTGAATGAACAGGTACAGAAACACCCCCCTGCTCAGAGCTGTCACAGCTCACATCTCTGTTATTCTTTGCTATGCTTCGGCTTGGCCCAGAGGGGCTGGTTAGCGGGAATTATGGCAGAAATCAACCAAGGTCCAGCATTGAATACTTTGAAAATGGAAAAATAGGTAAACCTTCATTCTTCAGTCTTTCCTGTGTTAGGATTTGGAATGCTTGAGCACCCTGAAAATCCCGGTTTGGGAACTTGAGCGCCAGGTCACGCCAGCTTGTAGGGTGCTTTCACGCTTGTTTCTTACTTGTTCTGGATATCCAGGCTTTAGGGGATATGGGGCTTTTGAGGGGTGCATTAGGGGCTGTGGTGCAGGTGTCATGGGTCAGGGTGCGTTATCCTAAGGGCCCCTGCAGCCACAATCACATCCAGGTCCAAGATGGTACTGGAAGGTGGGCACATGGACTTCAGGCCTTGGTGTGAGGAGCCAGCAGAGAGTGCGGGTCTTGGCCTTCTCATTCCTCCCTACTCGAGACTGCAAAGGACCCTGTTTGGAGCCTTTGGACTGGACATAACACTTATTGAAACTTCAGATATGTTCACGGGAAGCCCCTAAAGGAAAGGGACACTTTTGTGGTCGGTCATTTTCATTGGCTTCGTGCTGAATTTGGGACCTTGGTTCGTGTTTGGACAAGTGAGAGGTATTTGCCTCTGAAAATTTACTCTTTGGATTATATTTCTTTTGCTTTTTGGGTCACACCCAGCGTTTCACGTGGGTTTCTCCTGACTTATGCACTCAGGAATTACTCCTGGTAAAGCTCAGGGGACCATACTGTTGCTGGGATTCAAACCCGGGTTGGTCACGTGCAAGTCAAACGTCCTACCCGCTCTGCTATCACTTCAGCCCCTCTTTGGATTAATTTTAATAGCTTTTTTTTTATTCAGAGGAGTTGGAAGGGATTCTTTCATGCTCAAGGATTACTTCTGGTTCTGCATCTCGGGAATTATTCTGTGGTGCGGCTGGGTTCCCATGGGATGGGGAGGTTTGACCTGGATCAGCAAGGCAAGCATCCTAGTCGCTTCACAGTGAATCCAACCTCACTATTGGTGTTTTTTTTCCCATATATAGAATTTCTACTTCCTGGGAGTATGGTACCGCCAGCAGGTCAATCTGCATGTAAGGCGAGTGCATCAGCAGCCTGATGGCACCATCAGACTTCCAGATACTCCAAAATTGCTGCTGTGCCTTTGGCCAGACTCCAAAAACTTTGGGCAAAGTCTTCCAAGAAAGTAAACGGCCAAAAGTTAGGTATGTGCGAGACACACCAACAAACCATTTCCGGCTCAGCTATATAATTGGAGGCAAGGTCTCTCTGGTTCCTGATCAAACTGCTTAAAGGCTATGATCCCAGACACTCAGAGACAAATCTCAGAACCCAGCGGCTTTTTGCAGAGATGTGCCCTGTTCCCGCAATGAGCTATCAGCGACAGACTACCACAAGGGGGAAAGGGTGTGTCTCTCCGCCTGATCCCACTTGGTGGCTCGGTGGCCACCATCTTCCAGAGGACATTGGACAGACAGGTTTGGGCCTGCAGTGACAAGACATTCGGGACCTCATGGGATTGGGATGGACTCTGCCCTTTCCTCCCAACCTCAATGAGACCCCGAGTCGCTGCCCATGTACAGACTCTTTGGCTCTTGATCACTCTGTTTAATGGCCATGATGCCAGAGTCTCAGAAACAAATCCCGGAACCCGGCGGCTTTTAGCAGAAATGTGTCTGGTCCCCACAGTAGGTTACCAAAGCTGGGTATTTCAGGTGGGAATAGGTTTCAGTGGCCGCCATCTCTAAGGGCTTCTGGATGGTTATGTTTGGGACTGCAGTAAGGAGACATGCAGGGCCTAATGGGATGGTGGTGGAGACGGCCCTTTTCCCCCCGCCCCAACGAAACCCCGAGTTGTCTGACGCCTACGATTGACCTCTATGGCTCGTGATCAAGGTGAGTAATGGCCATGATCCCAGAGATTCAGAGACAAATCTCGAAACCCAGTGCCTTTTAGCAGAAATGCGTCTGGACCCTGCAGTAGGTTACTGTCCCTGGTCCAACCCAGGGGAAATTGGTGCTGTCCCCCCAACAGTTCCCCCTTGGCAGCCTGGTGGCTTCCATCCTCCAAAGGCCTTTGGAAAGTCAGGTTGGGCCCACATTCACGAAGATACATGAGGCCTCGCAGGATGGGGGTGGAGCCGGCCAATTCCTCCCCACCCCAAAAAGAGCCTAAGTCATTCCCACGAACCGCCTCTCTGGCTCATGATAAAACTTTAATGGCCATAATCCCAGAGACTCAGGAACAAATCTCGGAACCCAGCAGGTTTTTGTAGAAATCCCTCCAGATTTAGTTGTTAAAATTTCAGAATTCCAAAATCATATGTTATTTATAACCAGCAATCGAAAAAGAATTGTCTACTGTTGTGTTTTCGGCAGATCTGAGTGCTGGAGTAAAATCCCAATTAATAATGGTGGGTCTTGTGTCAAAATATTGAATGTAATCAAAGTAGAGAGAAGAATGTGGAAAATATCTGCCCACAGGTAGAGGAAGGCTGTGGAATGGCGTTATACTTGGGTTTTTAGTGGTGGAAAATGGGCACGATGAAGGGACGGGTGTTTCATTGTATGACCGAGTCTTAAACCTGAAAGCTTTCTAAGTGCTCTCCCATTTTCCCGTTTTCTCCCATTTATTTAGAAATGGCCAAAGCAATAGTAGAGCAAGTAGGATGCTTACCTTGCATGTGGCCAACCCAGGAGTCCTCCAGTCCACAACATCTTTGAGTTGCTCATTGGACATTGAGCGTCCCCTTCTCATCCCTAGAACTTGTGATGTGGGGGTGTGGCATGGGGTAGGGGTGTCTTCTCCCCGGAGCTGTTCATTACGGAGAGATCCAGTGCTTTGCTTTCTTGACTTTGTTGTGATTCTTCCTTATCTGTCAGGTATGTCGAGTAGTCCATGTGTTTCAAGGCCCTTGTTTTCCCAGCTGTGTAACTGGCCAGACTGTACAACTAAAGCGTAGGGTACCCTTTCTGGACCCCGCTCAGTCAATCTAACACCATGCATATCTTTGCCTTTGGATCATTGTCATGGTTTTATGAATATGGGAAGAAATTGAGTTTTCTTTTGTTATGTGGCCTGGGGATGCTCAGCAGTTATTTCTGGTGGTTCTCGTAAGTTGCTTTTAGCAGTGTTCAAGGATCAAACCCTGTCAGCCACATGCTAGGCAAATGCCTACCTGCTGTACGCTTGTACGCACCAAAAATTGTTTTATTGTGTGTATGTTAAATTGTGACTGTGAGCCCATAGTGAAGTTAATTAGGACCAGAACAGCAGTGCATCACGGAGGGTGCTCGCCTTACAGATGCCGCCTACCTTTAATGTCCAGCATCCCCTATGGTATCCCAAGCATCACTGGGTCTGATTAAAAACAAAACCCAAAAGGCTTTTTTGGGGGATTGCCGAGCTCCTCCCAGCAACACTTCCCGCAGATTTTCCCTTTCTGTGGGCTTGCTCGTACTGTGAGAACTCTGGAGATGTCCTCCACCTGCTTGGTCATTCAACTGCATTCCATTCAACATTGGACTAATTCTCATTGTGCATTTTGTTTGGTTTCAGAACTCAAATCACAGTTTCAGGATGTGGCATTACAGCAATTTCTTTAGGAACAGGGATATTGCATACAAGTGTGCTGTAAGATTCTCTTGTTGAAACTAACTATTATGCCATTGGAGTGCTCAGTGGACCGAGCATGCGACTTGAAAGGTGGGGTCCGGCTCCATCCCCACAACCACATCTATGGTCTCAGCATCACAGGAAAAATATCGGAGCCTAATGCTGGGACTAGCGGGTCTTTAACCTCAGTGGGTGCTGAAATCTGGAAATTTATTTTATTGTATTGTTTTTTAAAGTTTTCATTAAAGTGCCAGTATTTTAAAAGTTATTGATAGTTGTAATTAGGTTTTGAATAATTGAACACCAATTCCTGCATCAGCTTCCCTCC